CCCCCCCCCAGCCTAAGAATAAGTCATTAACTGTCTCCTGCTAAACAGAATCTACGGCGTGAGGATAACTCTGGCCTCATACTTCTCGTTCCGCATCGACGGCCTCGAGTCCCGATTGAAGGAGTACCAAGAGGAGCGCACGGAAACGATCCAGAAGCTCAAGGACGCAACCAAGTATGACTCCACCATGGAACTCATCGAGAAGTACGGCGGCGTCGAGGGCAAGCCCGGCCAGGGCAAGAAGAAGGCTGGCCCCGCCGACCCAGCATCCCCAAACTCCGGACCCGAGGGCGAGAAGCAGGCCGATGGCGAGCGCAAAGGCAATACCCCAGGCCGCACCTCCTTGCCCCCTCCGCCAACCGCCAACATCCAGCGCCGACCCGTCACTCCCAACCAGTCCGGTAACCTGGAGCCAACGGCTGAGTTCGCCCCCAACGCGGAGCACCTGCCTCAGTCGCCCCCCTCGCCTTACCAAGTCTATCCCCAGCAGTACCCTTCGTTCCAACAGCCAGAGTCCCACTGGTACGATCGCATCTTCGACGTCCTCCTGGGCGAGGACGAGACCGCCCCAAAGAACCGCATCGTCCTGCTGTGCGCCCACTGCCGACTCGTCAACGGGCAGGCGCCGCCGGGTGTCAAGTCCCTTTCCGAAATCGGCCGTTGGCGCTGCATGGGCTGCAACAGGGAGAACGGCGAGGTCGAGGACGAGGGGACCCGCATCGTGCGGGAGGTCCTCGACGAGCAGGCCGAGGCGATCATCGGGGCAGGCAAAGCCGGCCAGGACGACGATGGCAAATCGTCCATTGTCAGTGAGTCCGACAGCCCGGCGGCGTCTGTCAAGAAGCGACGGGGAGGGAGGAAGTAGGGTTATAGCTTTTTAGTAATAGTCATGTCCATGAATGCGAATTGTTGGCAATTCTTGTATTAACTCGAGACGGGAAAACACAACCCTCCATTCATTTGTTCATCACCGCGGGTCACTTTCACATGAGTTTCGTCATTCTGTGCACTTTCAATGTACATCTGCTGGGCTTTCTTTCCCAGGATGAGAGCTGTGGTTGATTATGTCTTCATACGCAACAAGTGCTTCTCGGAAAGGGCAGATCAGACTCCCAAACACCGATTAGCACACATGCATTCTCGAATCTATGTCGCTCACACGAGAACCCCTTTTTTTCATGCATTTGGCAAATAAAAGAATCGCCTCTAGATTCCAACATCTATCCATATATATCATTCATTGTGAGGTAAGAGCTCCTGTCCCAGACCCCCTTAGCCAGGACATCAAGCAATAGTGAACCCATAGCTGCCAGACCACCAAGCTCCTTCGATGTGTATGTAGCTGTTTTCGGGGCGTTTGCATGTATGTGATGGGGGTTTTCCAACAGCAAAATATCAGAGCAGTGTCTTGGTGTTAGCACAAGCCGCCTTCACTCCAACAGGGAAACCTCTAGGCTGGCCATATATTCCTATCCATCAAAGAGGCCCCAACAAGAACCACAACACGGCTATCACACCACAGATGCTCTATCAAGCAATGTCGCACTTCTCTGCATAGACACCATACGGTGACTTCATCGCTTGCGGACTTCAGTTGCCCAGCCGTCAATACTTTCACCCCTCCCCCCTACCGCAAGCCCCTCAATCTTCACACCCTTCATGCCTGGAGTGTCTTCCATCCAAGGATGCCCCGCCATGCCGCCAGCATTTGCTCTCTTTTCTGGGATAAGCTCAAGCATTGGCGTTAGGAAGTCCGAAATGCGCTTTGCCTCATCCTCCTTGAAATGATACTTCTCGCGGAGGACATCAGGCAGAGCCCAATGCCTTAAACGATGGATGTTGCGCAGCTCTCCCTTGCGATTGAAAATCTCTTGGCTCCATTTCCCACTCGCACAGAGTGACTTGGGGAATGGTCCCAAAAGTTCGATAATTTGGGCAATATGATCGTCATCCTTGCCGTACTTTGTACCGGATTGAGGGTCGAACAAATAGTCACCAGTAATTAGCTCGAACACCTATGCGTTGTCAACATCCAATGCTCCAAAAGGAGGGGCAAAACCTGAATAATGTGAAAAGCCACGGGGACATCGCTTACCATGGCAGCCATGCTCCAAACATCCGTGCTAGCACCCCACTTGGACCCCAGAATAACCTCAGGAGAACGATACTGCCGGGTCTGGATATCATTGGTGAAGTGATGATTTACCCAACAAGCATTACCAAGATCTGCGATCTTGACACTGATGATATCGTGGGCATGTGGGTCCTCGGCCTTGCGTTTCTCGCCGGTTGATGCAGATGAAGAATTTGATTTATCCAGAGAGATACCTGATACCTCGCGTGAGAGCAAATCACTTCAAATCCAGGTCAGATAAACAATCCACGGCTGTATAATAGGAAAGCGATTGAGAACGGGAAGAAACTTACGTGCTCTTTTCCCTTTGCTTCTGGGCCGCCTCAGCCGACCTCGGTGATTGATCTCCTTTCTTACCTGACCCTAAGTGCAAGGCATTAGCGCAAGGGTCTCTCAATGATGATGGGAAATATGGGTGCAGGGAAATACCTTCGTGAAGCATTCCAGCCAAGCTTGCCTGGGCACTGGATTGGGGGAACAGGTTGGCGTGGTTAAAGTTGCTGTTAAGAGGGGATGGCAGCGGCTGGCTACCGGTGATGAGAGTCCTTCGTCGTCTCCGTCCATTGCGATTACCTCCTTCTTTATCCCCCGGCTCGCTTTTGACCACCTTTTTTACGATCTGCTCGACGTCTCCGATCTCGATGAGCACATTCTCCGGCTTTAAATCTGTATGAATGATGCCGCACTCCCGATGAAGATAATCAAGACCTAGCAGGACCTGCTTTGTAATCTGCTTCACAAGGGGCATTGGAATACCACGATGGTTCCACCTCTTAATTAGGCCCAGTAGATTTTCACCCAATACCTCGAATACCATGCAGACGTGAGTGCCGTTGGGGCCCTTGTGTTCAAACGAGTCGAGGAGGCTCACGACGTGTTTCCGGCCTGGATGGTTCGGTTTCGCCTGGACGATCTTGTTGAGAAGCTTGATCTCGTCGTTCGCCGTCTCGGTGTAGTGCGCAGCGGACCGCACGACTTTGAGAGCAACGTGCTTGCCGTTGGTGTTGTCTCTGGAGAGCCAGACGGTCGAAAAGTGTCCCCAGCCCAGTTTACGAACCACGGTATATTTCCCATCTTTGTACTTCTCGCCAATCTGGACAGGATGGTAGCCACCCTTGCAGTAATCCTCGGAATCCTCCTCGTCAGCCGTGTTCTCGGCGGGGTCGTCGACGGACGAAGTCGATGGAGACTGTGTCATTGGGCCTAATTGATGTGATCTAGTTTGATAAGAAGGTAAAGGTTAGATGCAAGCTTTGAGACGGCAGAGAATCGTTCATTCAATGAAAGAGGTGGCGATGAATTAATGCAAGTCGGATAATGGAACAAAAGAGCGGGCGCGCTAAGTGCTGAGGGGCTGGCGACGGGCTAGATGGGGATGGCGGGGTGCGGAAAACGAAAACGATGAAGTGGCGACGCGTGCTGATGAGGCAAGTTTGGACAAGAAGCACCGCCAAACCAGGCTATCATTAGAGGAATAGGCGTTGCAGGAAAGAAGACAAAGCAGAGATATCAGACGTGAATGGGAGGGGTGGACAGTGCTAAATATCGGAAAAGGGACCAGCGACAAAGAAATCAAACTTAGATTTGCTGGCGCCAAATAGTCAGGTATGTTAGGGACGGGAGGGGGGAGGGCAACCTGGATTTGAGAAAGCTCATCGTGCCTCTCTACATGGCGCACTCCAGCGCAGCGGATAGGTGGGTTAGGTATAGGTGGTGTAGCGTCGGGTAAACAAGTCTCTATCAAAGAGACTTCTCTCGTCGCGCCCTGCAAGCAACGACGCCTCGATGAGGAGGAGGAGGAAAGGCAGCTGCACAATGCACACCGCGGAATTCGCTGAGGGCTTTGCTTCGCTTGCAGAGTCTGGGAATGGGAATTTCTGCCTGGGAGTGGGCAAGACAAGGTGCGAAACACTTGCTGCGCGTGGTAGGCTAATTCCAACGGTACCCAACTAAAGACGCTTGCAGCGTGCTCTGCAGCTCGTGCTTGGGCCTGCTCGGGCTTAGGCAAACAGCGCCCCTCAGCACAAAGGACAGGGTGTGGCATGGTGACCTTCAGTGGCCGTGTTCCATCAGGTGGCCACTGGCTTGGCGGTCGAGCACCCAGAAACCCCCCGTCAGCCCACGCCAGCAATGCGGCCCAGTCCGTGATGCGCGCTGCATCAAGCTAGGTAGATGCTGGCCAATCCTCTCCAATCGTCAACCCCCTAATAATTCTTATGGGACTGGCGCTTGCAGAGGGAGAGGGAAAAACGGCCCATGGCACTCGCCACATGATGCGACGGCCGTCATGGTCTCCTTTGAATCGCGGAACGGCAGCTCTGAGCCTGCAAACAGGTCTCTGGCTCCAAGACGATTCGATCAGACCCCATCCCATCTAAACATGATCGGTCGGTGAGCAACTTCACCCCACCCGATGTATACATGAATACCTGCAAGGATGCCCCAGCTGCAGGCTCCATCTGTCTTCGCTCCCCTCAGCAGCCAAGTGGTGTCGTTGGAGAGGCTATCCCAATAAGGGATCTGCACTGCTTGTGCAACGTGTAGCAGTATTTAAATAATAAAAAAAGGCATGGTGAATTGATCGCCAGCTCGGGGAGCTACCCCAAAGTGAAAGGAGACGCATTCCCACTTCCTGGTATGTGCACATAGCAACAACACTGACGCGCAGCAGCCAGGTTCAAGAAAGTACTGGAGGGGGGAGGGGTTGAAGGAGGGGGAAACAATATCAAGAGAATTGGAATAAAACTGCAAAAATACAGGAAAGACATAACATACCCGGGCGATTGGCTTGGCTGAGAGGCACTCTCGGTTGTGATTATGGGTTTCAGAGTTTCCTTCTTGCGCTTCTTTGCGTCTTGACCAACCCCATTCGCCTCGTTAGGGTCCGGATTGGGCGGTGGCTTCTGAGCTTCGACGGATGCCTCAGTTCCGTTCATTTTGTGCTCCCAGGATTCGTCCGTATCGCTCTGATAGCTCGGTCAAGATTGTGGCGGAGAGTATTCCTGCCTGGTGAGGGGCAGTAGGATAGATGGCCAGAGGCAACCCGTGTAGATATGCAGGAATTGATTCGTTCAGTCTATGGTATTGTATCGTGAGTCGGAGCGAGGCAGATTTGTGTCGAGACGAAAGCAGACGACAGCCTTGTAAGCTTGCGAGTTTGTGTCGCGATGAGGTAAATTAGTCGACCTGGGATCTGTCGATGGCCGTTGATGGCGTCGGCTTTGCCTGAATGCGCTGGCTTTTCACGCTGGGATGTCTCAGTCTTGCTAAATCCTGGCAATCGATTCCATGCAATGAAATGATGCAAGATTGAAACTAGGAGAAGGGAAGGCGCGACAGTCTTGTTGCCCTCGTTGGATCTTTGGATGTATTGGGCAATCTAGAGTTGGGAAGATGGAATCGGCAGGGCAGGGCAGGGATGCTCCGTTCTAGTAGTCGCAAATGATCAGCTAACGTCATACACGTTTGAGGTATCGGACATTGAGAGGGTCAGGCTGGGAAAGCAAAAGCCCATGCAAAATATATCATGTGGGCTCGAGCAAATGTCAAGGCTCGCATCGCTTCCCTAGGCATATATCTCATCTTGCAACGCCTGGGTCACGGTCGCAGGAGAACTGCCTGCTTGGGGTTATTCCTCATCATGGTTCTCCAAGTGCGACTTACAAGCAGGGCCTGCACAGGGCTGTGTATAAAAACAGATCAGCGCAAAAAGAGAGGGTGCGGCGCAAACAATATATGCAGTCTAACCGCCGCGCAGGGTAAGAATCTAGTATTGGAAATATGTGACATCAGCCTCCGAAACGGTGAGCAGAAGAGGCTTTTCTTGGTTTTGCTATCTATGCAGGCACATGCTACTCGCCGCCAGATTCGACTCGTCCGTGGAGGGGGGAGGCGCTCACTCAGTGGTGAGGAGACTAGCCTGGTCGGTTGTTGGGGCAGGGCACGGACCAGCACCAAGCCCGCGCTTAGGGAGGCTGGTTGGGCGGCAATTGCATCAACAGCAGCCAAGGGCCCGCCCACCAGTACCTAACCAACCATTCCACAGGGAGCAGCCATGTTGCTCTCTTCAAATACGATTGATATCTGCAGCAATCCGCCGGCGACCTAGTTAATGCTGTAGATAGGTCTACTACTGGAAGGATGAGATAGCACCAGGCTATCACCCAGACCCCGAAATTAGAAGACAAGATTCCGGTGAGCATAGGACCCCTTGCTTCAGCCCGTATCCAGTAAGAATCCCACCGCCAGAAGGGAAGGGTCGATGCTGTCAGACTGGGAGCCATGATCCAGAGGCAATGTAACCCAGGGCACATGCTACCTTGGGTTCGCCACATGGAATTATCCCCCTCCTACGGTGAAGCTGCATAATGCCTGCCGGTCGACCCTACATTGGTCAAAAATATCAGTCTCGAAGTTGCCCACGGCGAAATGGACGTGCTTTGTCCAAGTCAGAGTATAATATGGCGTCTTCTTAGAACACAGTCCAAAGTGCACTGAACGAAGGGGTATAAACCTCTACCAACAGATACATATAAGCAGGAACTTTTTATAGAACCAAATGCACCTTCAACGGGCGGAAACTAGGAGCTTCCACCGCAACGGATGTGTTACTGACGTCAGGACAATAGCAGGAAAGCTTCCAGAAGAGGTGGAGTCGCAGACAAATGTCAACCCAACTGGGAATGGGCCGTTTGGGAACGAGGGGCCAGGTAACGATATCACGTTTATTAATACTTGAGACGTGATATGTACATCGCCAGTGGCCTATTTTAAAAGCCTCAAACTCTTCAGCCTCGTTCAGCTTCCAGTATACTCTCATGCCGGAGCATGCACCAAGTACTAGGCACTGCGTGAGCCAGTTCTGCACTGGAGCTTGCGTCAAAGGAGTGTTATGAAGATATTAAACCACCCATTGTTTACCACCCAAGTTGTATTAGTTGAAATATCGAGGGATCAAGATAGGTCTCGGCGTCCCTCGCTAATCTCCAGTATGTTGCTAAAAGTGGGTGTTCATATCAATACAAACTATCAGAAGTGTCTGGTGCCGTCCTCTTATCGCACACGCCAAATCAAGAGCTTGCCTAGTGGTTTTCCATTCAAGAAAGAAGTTTGCGTCTACCCCAAACGCCAATTCCAATATGCCGAAACTAATATCAAATTCGAAAGCATGCACACGTGTGCCGCACGCTAGCCTCTCTTCTTCCCCTTCTGTGTCATCTTGCGGAAAGCTTCCATACCACCCGCGCCAAGTGGCCTGTGTTCAGCACCTCTGGCTCCCCCAAAGGTGCTGATTGGGGCAATGGTATAACTCTGTGGCAGACTAGCCAAGCGAGCCCGATTGTTACCGCCAACAGGCGCCAGAATACGGTCACGCTCGGCGTCCTGAGATGACACCGCAGGTCGCTCGGAAAGACTGAACTGTGATCCAATCTTCTGGCGTTGTGCAAGCTTTGCGGCGCTATAGGCAGTTAGCATCTTGAGCATAAAACGTGCATTGAAAAAATGAAGAAATGAAGAAAACATACTCATAATCAAAGTCACGAGTCTCGATGTGACGCTTCTTGTAGTCGTCCGTCCTCTTCAGAATAGGTCGGCTCCATTCACCCAGTAGCCGCTCAGCCATGCGCTTGATGCTTGGTTCAGGCCTTTTGCTCCGGGTGTAAAAAAGAACGACTTTCCCAATTCCACTGCTAAGCAAAGCCTCTTTTTCTATATTCAGCTTTGTCAACGCCGAGAAAATGTCCCGCTGGATGTTGTAGGCGGGAAGCGAGCCGTCATCAAGAGGTTCCAGGAAGAATTTGACGTGCTGCAAAAAGTTCGTGTCGGGATCAAGAACTGCGTGTTGAGAATTGTTACGATTCAAAATCGCCGTGACCTCAGGCAGAAGCTTGAGCTTGTGTAGTGCTGGCTGACCAGCCTCTCGTGCTTGGTTATCGGCTTGACACGCCCGCTCCATCTGAAGCTTGAGGTGGGCAAGCAGTTCATCGATCTCGTCCTCCAAGTCCTAGAACGCAATTAGTACTCGAAATCACTGCCTATGGCCAAAGGGAAACTAACAATGTCGTCCTTTCTCCTACGGCGAGCACCGCTGGGCTTCTTGATGGCTGCATCAAGGGCCCGGTCAATCTCACGCTTCCTACGCTCCTCTGGCGTCAGGTGCTCTTCGTTCTCCGGTTCTGGTGTCTTGGCCTTCGCCTTAGGTCGTCTCTCTCCATCGCCTCCACGTCGTGATCTTCTTTGCTTTTTCCCAGCATCTTCAGCGCCATCGTCCTCCATAGTGACGTCTTCATCCCTGTCTCGTCGCTTTTTATCTCGTCGGCCCTCTCGGGGCTTCTTCGCTGTCTCCCCCTCTGTGCGCTTTCTCTTAGCTGGCTTCAAGGCTCGCGCCGCATCCTCGTCGATTTCGATGGGGCGATCCTCAATATTGGCCGTCTCAGGATCATAGTCTTCAAACTGATTCTCATCTACCTCGGAGAGAGCATCAGAATCAGCCGCCGCTTGATCGTCTTCGAAATCTTGGGTGTGTCCCTCATCGGCGGGTCTCTCGTCGCCGGGCGACCCGTTGGGGGATCCGACCTCAGACATAGTAAAAGGGCTGCTGAATAGAAATGAAAATTAAAGAGCTAGGCAGGTCGACGCCAGGCAGTCGCTATCGCAGTGGTTGAATGCTGGTAACGTGTGGCGCCCTTGTTAATTATGGAATTCCTTTGAAGAAAAAACTTGGTTCGTGGGCGAGTTCTCCTCGTTGAGAAAGCGATAAAGTTTGCCAGCAGGCACTGGCACGGATCGGAGACGTAGCGCGCCTTGTTCTCGCGGTGCATCTTTTACTAGGCCCTTGTTCGACGTCGGAGCTCTGCTGACATAATCCCGCTTAGCGCCTAAGGCAACGACTTTATTTGTTTACTTTAGTGGGTGGTTGCTAGTGGCAGCACTTGCATGCCAAAGTTACCGGGAGATCCTCGTCGAACAAAGGGTCCTACCTCTCTGCTCCCTCTTACAGTTCATTGTGTCCCCAGGTCAGATCATCTTGCTTCATGATCATTACATGCAATCTTCAAAACCATGAATCCCAGATCATTTGAGGGTCCCATGGACTGGGAATACCAAGATAAAGGTCCATTTGATCCCACGAGTCCGTTTACACATGCCGCCAAAAGTGGCAATTTACAAAATGGTGAATCTGTCTATCCAGTCTCTTTTTGCTTTGGTCATGATTGAAACAACTTGCTAACTAGATTATTCAACCCAGGCTTTGGCTCACCAATCCGAAATAATGCGTCATCTCGACCGAATCCATTTGCCACTCCGTCAAAGTCTCATCAAGCTACAGCTCAGCAAACGTCATTTTCTTCGAATGCGTCTATGAAACCCGCAGCTCCTCCCTTTCGAAATCCTGCTTTTACCACTCCGCGCAAGCCCATCAATGACTTCGGGTTCTCGGATGCATCCGGCGCTGAGGAGAGTCCAGGTCTTACGGAGGCTTCAGACATCAATGATACGCCCGAATTTGATCGAACGGCAGATGTCCACATGGGCAATACGATTCCCCCAACCAAGATCGACAAATCCTTACGATATGGAAAGGCACCCCCCTCCAGTAGAAAGCACGTGTCCGGTCGAGGAGAGATTCCATCCCGCCACCATGATCTTGGGAGACGACTGAGGCGGCAGAACCAAGAAGGCTTCCCCAGACTTCGCCCCCGTGAATGGGAGGAGTCTGAGGATGAATCCGATGCCAGCTCAGCGCCTTCGAGGCGCAGCCATTCACCCAGAAAGAAGGCCAAAGCCCTACCGCCACAAAGTCCGGGCTTTGTCAGCTCTTTGTTTTACATGATGGACGAACATTCGAGTGCGCCCGAAAATCTCTATCGTTGGATCCAGCTTTCAGTCAATGTCTTTATGATATCAATGGTATGCTACGCCATATGGGCAATCATCAACACCGTCAGCTCAGATATTCATTTCGCCAATGAGGTTGAAAAGAGGAACCTGGAGAGTAGCATTGATGCATGCAGGCTTGATTATATTGAGAACGGGTGTACAACTACGAATGCTCCCAAGCTAAAGCCATTGTGTGACGAATGGTACAAATGCATGACACAAGATCCGGCTGGTATTAGCCGGGTCAAAGTGAGCATGAAACAGCTCGCCGAAATCATCAACGAATTTTTTGACGCCATGAACTTCAAAGCTCTGGTAAGATAACCGCACCGAAGACCTCTAATAATCTGCTGAGACTGACACGATACGTAGGGAGCCGTCTCCGTAGTTGTGCTTTTGACCATCTTTGCCAATAACGCAGCATACAACCGGGCTGTCGCGAGCAAGCCGGCCCATCCTGCTACGAAAGAATCACAAACCCCAAACCCACATCCTTCAATGGTTCCTAATAGCACGCCTGGGGTTATGTGGGTTCCAGTACAGACACCAAGTTCACGCCGCCACGGATTGTTGGAAGAAGAAACGGACACTGATAGCTCCCCACCGAAAGCACAACAGTTTCTCCTCCAGGCCCACACGCCGTCGAGTAACAGGGTCTTCGGAAAACGTGGGCGGTCAGTCAGCCCGATCAAGTACGGGCGAAGTCCAAGTAAAGGGTACTAGGACGACCTTGGCACATTCATTATATATTTTCTCCTTTGTTTTTGGAAAACATTTGACTTGTAAGCATAGCAGACCCTTGGGATTCATGGGTAGGACGGCGTATATATTCGCGAGTGCATATTGGGCGTTGGGATGATGCATCCGATGAGTGGTGTGTAATTTGGGAATTTGCGAATTGGAGGGAGGACTGTAGGAATACAAAAGGCACACACCAGAGTCTAAAAAACAGGAATGGAAACTGTCTCAACTTTTGATATTATTCTCAGCCAGTCAGTGCTTTGTAGTGTACTCAGCTACAGCACTCTTAAGTCAATAGATCACACCCACTCGCCTTGTAGCGGTCGCTTCAAACTCATGATAGCACAAGCTCCCATGTAAATACCGATATAGTTGATATAATCACTTGATCCCAAGTTTAATACCCATTGGGCGTACAACCTTTACAACTATTCCAACGTGCATTCAGGCCGTGTTGCCGCTCTTCTTCTCCAGCGCCTCAACTCGTTCATCGATCTTCTTAAATGACCAGCTCTCAAAAGCGGGTGGGTACACAAATGGGCGGAGGTCGAACCGGTGGTCATCAGGACTGTAGGACTCGCCTACCTAATGTCAGCTCATGATCTGCCTGTTAGGGAGGGCATCTTACTATGGTACGCGGGAGTTGCGACTGTCTGCTTATGTCGATTGATCTGAAAACAGAGATGCATCAGCACGACAACGCCTCACGCTCAGCCGGGGGGGACTAAATACCGCGTAGAAGTGGAAGAAACTCTTGACCTAGTTCACGGTATTGATATAAGGACCTTTATTCGTTAGGAAGGCTGGCGTCTTACCTTATCGGCAACTTCTCGCGGTGTCATGCCCTCCTTTGTCCATTCACTCAGTAGGCGGAGGAAACAACCATAGGGGCCGAGCTTGTTGACCTTTCGGAGCTGGCCAAATCTAGACAGCTCCTTATAGGTGAAGCCCATGTCCGCCTCATCGGATTGAACCTACGTATAAGAGTGAGTTCCCAGTTTTGAGCACTGTCATTAGAGGAGAACTGACATAGTCTGCCGTGATCGGCTCAAGCTCAGCTGTAGGGACAGCGTCGATGAAATCCTGGAGAACAGGCATGTTGAAATTCTTGACCGACCAGGTGATGAATCTTACGAGGTCGACCTTACTGATCGAGCCGATAGGGTTGATGTCGGCAGAGGAGCCTAGTGTGATTAGTTCGACATACGACTAAGGATTGCACTTTCCAAGGAACCTAGTTATGTGAAGACATACAGTCATACTTGGTTAGATCTATGTGCGATGTCAGACCAATTTTGAGCCGCTTGGGAAGGGCTTACTCACATCCGCGCAAGCACTCGTCCACGTTGGAGCTTCCGAGGACCAGCAGAGAACCGCCCCCTGGTCGTTCTCTGACCTCACATAGTTGTTGGGCGAAGTAATACGTGAGAACCTGTTATTCTTACTGTTAGGGGGGGGTTTACCTGGCCGCAGAATGGAAACGCATACCATTCGTGATCTAGCCTGAATGTTCTGGAGAGCCAGGTTTTGTGTGTTCGATCCCCCATGAACTATCGGTCCCTAATAAGTAAACGGCCCCTATAATCGAACCCGATGGCATCAGAAAACACAAGTGTCTGTACTGACCTTTGAACTTGGGAGTGAACCCAGTGGCTTGGGTGAGGATGTCCCTCGCCGACTGGAACATGGTGTCGATGTTCACATCTTGGTGGTATGCCCCAATGTGTGCGGCGAGATCATGAGCCCTTTGCCGGGTTTCCTTACTGCTCTGGGCTTCCATTCCCAAATATACCGTGTGCAGGATCTGGTTACAGAGCGCCTCGGCCGTCTGGGGCAATTCGGACGAGTACACAGCAATGCGCTTCATATCGGTAATAACCTGCTGATTGCCTTGCTTTACAGCGGCAACAGCGAGTCTGCACATGGAGTAAACGATCGTTGCAGTAGCGCAGCTGTCGATACCACCGCTTAAAGCAAGTTGGAACCCTGCGGCTCTGGACCTGCGGAGGTAGTCCCATAGCCAACAGGCGGGACCAAGGGCGATTTCTTCTTCAGGGAGATGATACCGCGGCGGGCGAGGAGGTGTCGGCTCCCATAGTAAACTGTCTTCTTCATTGCTGCTTAGGTTGAAATCAACCTCGATTCGCTGATACTCTTGAGCTTGGACGGCTTGTTGGCCGCGTGACGGGGAGCATCGGGCTGCTCTGACGTCCTCAAGGTCTACCGTGGCAACAATGACTTCGACTTCATTTAGCCTACAGGCGATTAGCCATGGTTTTCTCCAGCTGCAGATGATCTTACGAGAATTGAGACGACTGCGCAACTAGTTTCCCGTTGACAAAGATCATGGCGCAGCCATCATAGTATAGTCTATCACCATCACACTGAAACCCGAAGTCAGTTTCTGCTCCAAGACCAATAAATTTCACAAGAGAACGATTTTCCCTAGAAAGTCAGACATCTTAGGGAGCGGGTATCATACACCTATCTGGTTGGAATAAAGGTAGACGCCTCCATTCTTGCGAGTAGCTTCTGAAATAAGCGCAATGCGCTCATCCAACTTACGAAGAGAGTGGTGGCTACCGCTGCTGTTTGTGAAGATCTCGACACCATTAAGGCCCCTGAAGCTTGGTCAGCTGTGTAACAGCAAGTGCTGGCTGACACTCCCACTTACATTTCGATGTGAGGGCTATTTGGCGTAAAGAGCTCCTCGCAGGTCTCGGCAGCCAGACAAGTATCGATGGTAGAAAGGACCACATCGCCGATAGGGACCTGACGACAGCCTTGGTGCTCCTGGATCCGAGGTGGGAGAAAGTACTGCTCAACGTACCGTGGTCTCTTCCACGGCGTGAAGAAGCGCATCTCGCGGAAATTCCCATCGTTGGCGAGATATAGCTTTGGTCGAAAGCAGAGTATCTTCCCATTAAGGATGATGGCGCGCGCATTATACGTGCAGTTGCGATGAAGAAGAGGAAGGCCCACATCAATTATAATGCCGTAGAGAGACTCGTCAGTCAGGATAGAGTAAAGTGAGTCCCACGAGTTTTCGTACACCTCGTTCTCGAGGAAGTGGTCCAAACATCCGTATCCCGTGATCTCGAGCTCAGGGCCGACCCGTAGAGTTGCACCTTCTTTCTTGGCCTCGTGAACACTCTGTTTGATCCTGCGGAGATTGTTCTCAAAGTCAAGAGCCCACTGGTTGAGCGCACATGTGGCGACCCGGACGAGATGTACCATGGTCACGAAAAAGAAGAGCGAGGGCGAGATGCAATATGCTGACTCTTCAGCTTCATTGATGAGAAGACAGGGTTATCTTGGGTATTTCTTACAAATACTGAGGTTAATAATAGGTACCCAGTTATGTAAACCCAGCACATGAGCCGCAAAACTCTCAGACAGATACGTTACAAAGTTTGTTAAACCCCATGGAAAAAGTGCAGACCCACAAAGTAAATCCCCTGAATATCCCTTAATTACTGTGTATGCAGTTGCGAGAGTTTAATCGTGGCGAGCGCTATGTAAAATGGCTCACAAACTTCATGTTCCCTCCAAATGTAGCTTGTTGGTGGTAAATACGTTCGAGTCAAGTGGGTGACATTGAAAATTGAGACACTCAAACATAATGCTCCTTATTTTCAAGCCTGCGACCGGTATTATCGAATTATTTAGTACTAATAATACATACTTAAGATAGTACAGCATATATTGTCACTTCATTTCTTTTTCTACTACTGAATTTCTCTTTTCATCACGAAAACTACCTAGTGTTATAATGACTCTTTCATTAGGTGTCTCATTTCTCTATCACCCACTTGCGAGCGTACGAGATTGGGGGTTATGTGGCTAAGCACTGTCTTCGGGGAATCCTTTGCTGTGTCACGACTTATTGCCTTGTTAAGAACTCATGTAAGATAGCAAAGCTCCACTTCAAAAGGCTTAACCATGTTGTGTACATCGCCCACCACATGGTCCCATATAGAGCAATTTTTTTCTACCATGGCAAGAAAGTTACCATAGCAATGCTGGTCATAACCTTCTCGCCCCTGGTCAGCAAAAACCGCCCGCTAGAAGTCTTCGGATTCCAGGCGCTGTGACTAAGCCGCATATGTCTTGAAGACCGAATTCAGGACGGACACGTTAACTGCGTGGCGTGGTACTTTGACCCAACTATAGCGCGACTCGTGTTGACTTACACACGGCTAACGAACAATGAAGTGCACTGAGAGTAGTCTGGCGGAAACCCCGGGAAGGAAAGAATTTTCAAGGCTGGCCACGTGTGCATTAGCAATATGGGAGACTGTCTAGCACGAGTTCTCGCCATCGTTTTTGAGGCCTGCTGCTGTGGATATACTGGGCGTCCCCTAGCACTTCCTACTACCTCTATATATCATGTATGATCGGACAATTTCCATGCTGCAGAGCTAGGGACAGCCATTGCACTGAGCGGTGCTCGCTTGGCTGCTGGCGACATACCCCAGGCTCTGGGTCAGCAAGAGCGGCGAGGGCGCTAATCTCAACGTGTCGATCCTGTCGCCAGCCGATGAAAGGGAACCGGGGCGCATGTCGAATATGGCTAAAGCAGCAGCATGCGTATTACCGCCGATCTGGTTTAGCTTCTGACGGTGATTTCGTCATCATCGGCAGGTCAGTCAGTAATATTATGGGAGTTTGATATTAGCTAGCTCTCCAGATCAGCCAATATCCATAAATGACATACAGCTTTCCCCACTACCGATCAAACCTGCTGCGAGGCAGCCTCCTGCAACACATAACTTGCGACCGGCGCAAAGACAAACCCTGGAGCTGATAACGCGTCAAAATCCAGCAGTTTCCGCCAAGGGCTCGTTTAACTCTCTCATTGACCCCCACGAGACCATCAACCAGTGGCCACTTCACCGACAGCTTCCCCAGCTGGCTTTCGCATAACAGGCAACACGATGCTTCGAGGGCTCTGTCCCCTGCTCGACTGATTCCCTCAGATTGCGAGTTCTCAGATCATGCGCTGATCGAAAATACACCATTTCCCGCCTGGACTGAGAATTTCCAGCACCTCAAGGCCGGATTCGAGCCCCACGCCCCATTGCGACGACGTTTGGCGGCGCACCCAACCTTAGCTACCTACTTGAACAAACAATTCGCAACACCAACGACGACGACGACGATAATTGTTTCCTTTCTGTCCGCCATATGGGACTTCGCGTGTCTATTGTCCCGACTTCGGCGTTCGAGCCTCGTCAAACCCCTCAAGCTTCTCCACCAATTTGCCTCTTCCTTCCGAATCCAATATCAACCAAATCAACGCGCGGACGCGCCCCTTCATAGCATGCAATTTCAAATTTGCAGACACGCCCATGGACCGGAAACACGCTCCATCATTCTCTGAATCCGATCCTACAGTCGAGAAGCCACATCTGTCAAACCAGGGTCCGTCTCACGAGCCAGCCTCCACAAGGCGGAGTTATCTGTCATTGTCTCACCAGTCTATGCATCGCTATGGAAGACGACTCAAGTATAAGTGGCCAAACCCCTTCGGCTACGAATCAATCTAGCACCGGGAATACTCCTCAAGGCGGTACATCAACATCGCAGTCGGGCGCTTCGGGTACGCCGTCTCAACGTATACCTACACCAGGGCCATCACAACCCCCTTCAAACACGGCCTCCCTCCCACCTGGTCCGGGAAACTCCAAACGCCGCCGAGGACTTGGGATTGTGACGCCAAATGCATGTACAGAATGTCGCAAAAAGCGGGCAAAGGTTAGTGGAAATCAAGAACCCCTTCGCCATGGCCTCAGCAGCTTCAATCTACGAGTGATTTAATGGGCCCATGTATTGAATTACTGTTTCTAACAACCCTTTCCCACATAGTGTGATGGTCAAAAACCATGTGGTCGCTGCAAATCCCAAAAAGAGGTTGAATGTGTTTATGAGATTCCTGTGCGACAATCGAAAGAAACTCTCCGCACCGAGATTGAGTCTTTGCGCATTCGCCAACGCTCCAGCGACCTTGTCTTGGCCGCTCTTGTGAGGTCAGATACATGGGAAGAAGTTTTAAATCGCTTACGAAATGGCCAAACCATTGAAAATATCTCTCACTGGCTTGGAAATGCAGTCCCCTCCGAAGGCAACACAGTGCCCATCTTTCAGGGTCGGCATGGAGAGAGTTCAGGTCAAAATATGACGGCCGTGGCGGACTTCAGCGGTGCAGCTTCCAGCAGTCATTCCGGTATGGCTCTTGATATTGGCCCAGCAGCAGCTCAGGTGCCAGGTCTACAGCAAACTCCACCATGGAACTTCTCAGGACAGAGTCAAGCCGAGTCAAGCCGAAGCGGGTCAGATGCCATGAACTGGATTCCCGACGCACGTCGAGGGGGTTTTCAGGGGGACTCTCTGCAAGGTGAACCAATGGGTACCGGACTGCCACGATTTCGTGGCCTTGAGCAGATTCTCTCTCCACTGATTGAGCCTGGGATGGAACCTCCAGCAGGGACCTGGACTGGCATAACGGGTGACATAAACTTGGTTCAACATCTCCTAGCGCTCTATTTTTGCTGGGAATATCCCACCTTCGCGTCGCTGAGTAAAGAACATTTTCTTCGGGATTTCCAAGATGGGCGTCATCGGTACTGCTCGCCTATCCTAGTCAATGCGCTTCTAGCCCTCGGCTGCCGTTTTTCGACTCAACCCAAGACACGAGCGAATCCAAATGACCCTTATTCATCTGGCGATCATTTCTTCAAAGAGTCTCAGCGACTATTCACTCAAGAAACTGATCATCATTCTCTTACTACTATCCAAGCATTGGGGATAATGTCCATCAGGGAAGCGAGCTGTGGTCGCGATTCGGAGAGTTGGTATTTTGCAGGTCAGAGTATACGGCTCGCCATTGAGATGGGTCTGCATAGAATACATGATGGGGCTGACGAGGACGAGCTTGCTGTTCAGTCAGCTACATTTTGGGGCGCTTTTGCCCTCGATCAGTAGGTTTCCTTGTCTGTTCACTCCACTGTTCAACTTACTATCACTTGATGGCAGTCAAGACACCGCTTCTAACTGTTTGATTCCAGCGCGTGGTCTCTGGCAACTGGCTCGTTACCACAATGCTCTTCCTTTCCACATCTACCTCCAAAGCCTGCTATCATCGACGACATCGAAGCTTCCTTTTGGGTACCGTACACCGATAACGGTACGTGTCAGCGATCATATTACGATAGCCCTATTCGAACTGAGAACCGAACTGATTCTTTTCCTGAAGGCGCTCCACTCCAGCGGTCGTGTGAACAGCCATCCAATGTTCGATCAGTATACAAATGCTTCTGTGAGCTTAGCGAGCTAGTACACCGCTCACTTTACGTTCTTCACTCCCCTGGAAAGCCACTGACTGCCAGAGAGCTGTTGGCCATTTACACCCAATATCTCAATTGGTATGATCGAATACCAGAAGTGCTGCGGCTGGGGCACAACTTCACTCCAGCTGTGCTTTTCGCCCAGTCAGTGTCCTAACACCAAACTGATGAATCTTCGGCTAACATTTCTCAAGCATGTATTATCATTTTGCAATTTTGCTGTTATTCCGGCCCCTAATCAAACTAAAAATATTGGGGTCCAAGGTAACTCCTCGGGACGTTTGTTGTCAGGCAGCAGACGCAATTCAGGGTCTCCTTAAGTCTTACTCGCAACTCTACACGTTACGAAGGACTCCCTCCTTTGTACCGTATTTCGTCCTCACCTCCGCGATCATGCATCTCGCTATCGGATCAACGTCCAACGATGTGGGCTCTCCCGCGAGTAATCTGCAAAATGCAGTCAAGCTAGACCCAAGGGTATCTGAATCTCTCAGCCAAGGAATCGCTGATTTAACTGAAATGGCCCCTTGTCACCATTTCGCCGAGCAAGCCCTCAATATTCTACGGTATCTCGCCAAGAAATGGAATATTGACGTGAGCATTGACGGCGATAAAGTGCCACCAGAGGACTATGACAGGCTGGTACAGCCATACACGAGTAGCCTCAATTTCTTTGCACCAAACATCCGAGAGGAAGACTTCATTTGCAACTGGAGCTCGTTCCGAGACTTGGCGAATACTGTGCACCCACCTTCAACCTCCCAGGCAGCCGAGACAATGGAAAACCCTTTGTTCTGGCCCTTCCCTATGCAAGGCCGACCCATCTTGCCGTACGGGGAAGAGCTCGAGCAGGCAGGATTTGCGCTGCTATGAATGAGCCAATTCGACAACACGACTCCTACATGAACCTCATAGACCTAAAGGTCACTGTACTCTTTCTCACTGAAGTAAACGATGTTGGATTAAGCCATAACAATTTGCTATTATTTATGAACATATATATAGGTGCGGATATGCACGGGGGTTGAAGGACATCTAAGCAGCCAACTGTATGATAAAGGGCAAGCCCCATAAGATATGCTGTTTAGGTACTCTGAAATAAATAAGATATCCCAGGATTATATTGGTTGACTCGAAATCTGCATCTTTCCTCGCCGGCTCTCTGGCGGGTCTATCTAGTCTTCCCTTTTCTGTGAATGTTTGAATAAAGGCCACTGTTGTCCTAGCGGTTCAGCCATATAGATGTTTGCTAGCTCATGCACATGTGAGATATATGCTACAACCACAACCACAACCACACACGTAAATGATATCATGTCAAAAAGAACAAACAAATACAAATAACATACACGAGAAAACAAAGAAGGGAAGGAGAAAGAAAAAAGTTATTACTCGAACGCACCAGGGGTTATTGGTTGAGCTCGCTGGCTTTAGGGTAGGTGATTATGCGGGGACATTATGCCTCGGCTCTTCTCGATAGGTCATTTCTCGTCATCAACGCCAGCCCGGGATAGTGCATCCCCATAAACTCAACACAGATTCTTGTCGCATCGCCCAATAGCTCTGTTTCGCCACTACCTGTATCGATCAAAGGGTTGATACTGGCGGAATAAAGGTGTGGCTATGCCATAGCGGCCGAACGACGTAGCCGTCCGTCGCCTCTACATCACACGCGCTATCATCTCCGTCATCATGTCACCTTCGCATTTGCACACAGCCGGGCCAAAGCCATCGCGCCCGTCGCTTGGCCAGATTCTCTCTCTGCCGCCGCAATGGCTGAATATGTACGAGGAGTTCATCACAAAGAATGCGGGCCAAGTGTCGCAGATCGAGAGCGCGTTGCGCAGCTTGACGTACATCATCCCTGGTTCGTACCCATCAACGACTCCTCAAGTGAAATCTATCAAACTGACCGGTTAATGCCATGCAGGCCGTTTTCGCGATGCCGAGATTGCGTCAGAATCTATACACTCAGGCGTCCAGCTGCTGTCGCTGTACCATGACAACCTCCTGACGCGTGCCGTCTCCCGTCTGCCGGTGCCACCGATCCCATCGGCACATGCCCGCTACACCCGGTTCTGGAGTTCAAAGAGCAAAATCTATCGGAGGGTTGCCATGCTTTTACAAATGGTCATATACACTGAGCTGCTCTGCGAGATGGCGGCGAAGCGGCGCGGGGGCGAGCGGAGACGATGGAACGTGATCGTTCTTCTAGAAGCTATCAAGGCCATCTGCCGCCTGCTGCTGCTACGGATCACGCGGTCGCGGCCGCTGGTGACCCCTGTACTCCCTGAGCGAGAGCCTATCCCTCAGGATCTGATGGAGGATGAGGAGTATGAGGAGGAGGCCTCGAAGAGCGAAAGTGAGCTGATGGATCAGCTGTCCCTCAACGGCAAATCTCACCTATTGAAGCCGGCGCACGAGAGGGAGTGGGCGATGCCCCGAACCGGCCTTAGCATGCCCTCCCTACCAAACTCAAGTGATATCAGCTCTTACCTGATGGGGCGAGTCCTGACAGCGGAGGACATCAAGCCGGCGAGCAAGCTTCTCAACCAGCTGCAGGGAAGCAGCCAGGCCGCCGAGTACCTGTACATCTTGGCCCCCCTAGTCTACGCGTCGGTTCTGGCCCGCAGTAAGAACAAGCGGTCATGGACACCCTGGCTGGTCGGACTGGCTGTTGAGTGTGCGGCACGACAGCTGCGTGACCGAAGCCTCCGGACAGCCTCCCTGGAGCGCGACGAATGGAACAAGAGAGGCTGGGGCATGGCTTGGTGGCTGATGCGCGGCGCCTTCTACGAGAACGTCACCAAGGGCGCTGTACATGGTGTGACCAAGAGGATGCCGGGCTTCATTGCGGGCATTCTCGAGGACTACGAGTACCTCTGGGAGAACTATTACTTTAGCACGAGCGCTTAGTCGTCTCCGCGGAGTTGACGAGCGCCCACTCGTGACCCGGCTCCTGGGTGATTCGCGGGCGAATTCCTGGGCAGCTGGCGCTCCCCCCTATTTGGGGCTCTACAGATGCGGTTGATTCTGACTACGAGCCGCATCCGATGAGTGTGCACGAGATGATGGCGATGCATGCTGTCCTTGGCTTTTTCCCTTTCTCGAACATACCATAAGGCGTCCATCGACTACAAGGACCAGCCTTACTCATATCTTGGGGACTCCAATTCAGTCAGATGCGGCACGGTTGGAGCCACGCACTCATGGCCGTGCCAGCACCCCCAACATCCGTCCGTTTGCTGGGTACATGGTGCGTCGCGATCGAGATCATTGCTGGGAATCCATTGGCAAGAAAACCACGTCGAATACGGTCTTGCGGGGTCCTTTTTCCTTCTCCTTCATCATGACACAGCCTAGCAAGGGTTGTTGGGCTATCAGGGCTGATCCAGGGAGCTCCGAACGCCTCTTCCCCAACACACGAGAATGCCGAATTAGGTAACGAGACAAGCACAAAGCCAAATACGGCTTGGGGGGTTGATGAATTGGCATTTAATCGAGGGTTTATTGGGGTGTTGATTGGGGGTCCTGGATGCATCTGAAACTGCCAGTTGTGTGATGCGCCGCCCGTCTGCTTGCCAAATGCTGAGAAAGCTGGGAGAACCTAGTCGGGATAAAGACCGAGGCAACGAACGGTCCACACAACCAAGCCCAGAAGACTAAATGTTTACCTTATCGAGGCTGGCTGACATGACTGTGGTAGGGTGGTATTCAGGTACGCAAGGCCCAGGATGGGATTCCCAGGATGTACGATGGTTCTGCATGGAACGGGGGGAACGGAACTTGTGACTTGACTGTGTCTATTTACGCATGGCTTTTTCTTTCATCACGTCATCCTCTGGAGGTGGGAGATATGGGTGGGATGAAAGGGCTGCGCATGCTAATTATCTTACCTACCTTTACCAACCGTGCGCCTGCATGGGAATTGGTTTTTTCAATTTTCTTTGTTCTGCTTTAGACTTGTTAGCATTTATGTCGCGCATGACTAATTCCCCATCTGTTTACCCAGTGAGCTGGACATGATAAGCTGTGCTTGTTGTTACTTGGGGCTGCCTGCTAACCATCACCAGGGGGTGTCTTAATAGCAAGCATCTTTGCTTAGCCAGGTACCTAGAGCGGGTTAGTCCCACGAGAAAGAAAAAAAAAACAATGCCTATACGGCGCCCTAATGCAGCTGGCTGATCCTTCCCAAGAAAGGATCGAGTACCTCCCATCCAGGTACCTTGCCTCTGGATAGCCATTCTGAATTCCGGGGTTTGGCTCTTATAGGACCCCCCCTGTGGAAAAGACCTGGATTCCGGGTTGCAGTGAGCGCCTCCCATCCGAAGAATGAGCCCTGCAAGGCCTGGATCCCATGGAGGATCGAGTGCAAATCCCTCGTGTTGTTTTTTTCCTTCTGGAAATCGCGGCCGCAACGGCTTGTGCCGGCCATTGGTGGACACTGGAAAGTCAATTCGTCGTCACCAGCCAGCGCAAGACTGCACCACATGCAGCCACACCATGATTGTGTGTGTGTGTGTGTATGGATCTAGAGCTGCTGAGGTGCAGTGGTTGTTTTGCTAATTGAGGCAACACAGTTCGATGCGGTGTGGTCGGCGCCGAAGAGAGCCTGCGCCTGGACGGCGGCCTCTCACCCCCCGCGATCGCCATTGTCGGGTCCACGATGATAGTCGCGAAATGAAGGCATCGTGGCAGGACTTGGGATGTGGTTGCTGCTAGTTCTGACATTGTGGGTTGGAGCTGGCAATGAAGGGGTCCTGTTTGAGGCAGATGATACAAGGCGACTCTGGTTTTCTCGCCATTTTCTGCCTCACGATGACCCCCTCTCCCCCCAATTTGGCGTCGATGCTGAGAAAATGGCATCACCCCCCCTGGCTTGAAACGCTCGGCATCCCGCGTAGGGCGCCGTGTGATTGGTCTAAAAGGTGCTAGCACATTGAGCTGTTGCTTGGCTGGTTTCCGACGGCTGCTAGTCTCGAGGTCAGCTCTGAGCCGTTTCTGCCCAGCTGACCGACAAAGACGCACTCCTCAGCACAGACGTCGAATGTTTCAGGTGCGTCGCCTCGGAGAAATCTTGAGGCACGACGGTTTTACATCTGCAAGACAGACGACTAGAGGGCAGCACGGACCCAGCCCTGTCGAGTTTCGGCTGCCTGGAGGCCCGCCAGCAGACGCATACGAGATCGCGGACGTTGCCAGAAGCGAGCAGCGTGTCCAAGGCTGCTGGGGCGGAAGTCCGGATACGAACATGTGTAGCACAAGATGAGGTGGGCAAACCTGCGCACATCGACATTGTTTAGTGCGATTTTGTGGTGGGGGTTTCCCGATTCATATTACTCAGTGATCCTCAATGAGCCTGACTAATGTGTGCCTGGTGCGCTACGAGCAGAAGGTATCTTTTCTGATTTGCATGATATGGTATCCGATTTCCTGGCGGCAGCTACAGACAGTCACCTGCATTCGCGCGCGCCATGAGAGCCATTTACGTGCGCTGTCAAGACTGCAATTAAAATGATGCATGGGGTAAATCTCCTTCCGGGCGGCGGCTTCCAACACTGCAGCATGTGCTACCACCTACAGAAGCATAGTGCAGCTCGTCGGCGCCAGCAATCAGCGACCGCCGAAAATCTCGTCCAGTGAAAAGGCGCCGTCAGAAGCTTATCTCCAGCTGAAGGCCCAATTAGGCATAAGGGTATTGCACTTGTGCCTGGGCTAATTTTGGACGATTCTTTTCAGGCACAGCGCTCTGTGGGTGGGCAAAAAAAAAAAAAGCCAAATGGAAAAATATTGTTGCACTCTGATGATGGATGTGGTGTAGGTGTGCACGTCCAAGGTTGCAGCGCACGCGCATTTGCACACGGGGAAGAGGGTTGTGCAGCTTATGCATGCATCCCCCATGTAGCCATATATAGACGGCGTCATTTAAATGGCGATCCAAGATATGCAGCCCCCGATATCGCCCATAGGTAAATCGCCCTGCCAGGCCTTCTGGACGGACAGGCTCAGCTGGGCTCCCGTGCGCTGCGCGGTGCATCTGTCGAAGATCTCGAGGAAAGATCAATGATTGTTCGAATCCCAAGGTGGATTCGATTCGGCAGCAAAAGAGGGTCGAGTTGACTCGTTCTGCTGGGACCGGCATCTTGCTGGCGACATTAGCGCGGGTGCGTAGGAGCTGGGAGCCGGGCCCCCTGGTCTAGTCGATCCAGGCACAGCAGTCGGCGTGCAGGAACAAAGGGGACCCATTGTAATCATGATTCCACTTTGTGAGCGACTTGGATCGTCCGTGAAGGAGGATGAGGTCATTAAGATGACCGGCACACACCAAGATCAGCAGCGAGGACCAGCATCCACCAGCACTGGGGACGATGGCAGACAGTGATGCGGAAACGACGCGGAATGTTCTTATTGCGACTCTCCGGCTCCGGGTCCCTCTTGGCTGCAAAGATGTTTTGCGTGCCAAGTTATCATGCCATTGAAAAGCCCATCCCTGCCAGCAGCTCGCCCAACACGCAGCAGCAGTGATGTAGGGGGCGTTTGGTTAGACGGGACCGAGCAGCAGCAGAAAGGGAGCTAGCTGCTCAGCACTCCACAGATAATATAGACGTTCATCATTTCTCTCGGGACAGTTGGGAGCTAGACGCCTTTGGTTGGAGGCAACCAGCACATGGTTCGGATTTCAGAGCAGAGGATCTTGGTAATTGGCTGTCCGAGGAACGTCGGGGTTGGTGGCCTAGTACTCCCACGCACCCGCCCACGCAGCCATTTTTAGGCGTATCTTGCTGCCATGCCACCACTTCTGACCACGCACCTCTGCTGCACATGCTCCTGCTTGGGGTTCCGAACTCGAGAGTGCGCTGGGCACGCTCGGCAGGAGCATGCATGCTCACAGAATTGCAGAGGAGAGGGGGAAGATGTTGTGCCTAGACTCTTCATATCCCCTTTCCCATGACATGGCATATCCACCCTTGACCCACTCCAGTCAGGATCTCTCTCTACTGCGCTCTCTGTACGAGGCCTGGTTCATGCGCATGGCAAGGGATACTGGTGTAAAGCGACCAGGCGGCATGAGAGAATCGATACTCATCCCAGGATGTTAAATACATGCATACTAGGTACCCGTGGCCCTGTGCTGATGAACCGCGTCGTCATCTTCGCTTGCTCTGGTTCCGCATCAGCAAAGAGCAGCCGCCGTGAAATTTGCATTGCAAATGCCATATTATCGTCCGCATGGTAATTAAAAAAAGCCCCATCCCCTTGGGCGGTGTCGCACGGCATCTATGGCGTTTTCCTGCCTGTATCCCGTCGGCAATACCGCTGCGTGCAGGCAGTCCGAGAGTGCGAGAGCTCGTAGCTGTAAATTGCCATCTTCTGGGCGCTGCACCAGCTCAGGCGCCACGCTGCAAGCCCCTGGCAGGATCAATTGGGAGGCGGGCGACCAGGAGGAGGCTCTCCCAGTCTCACCTCCCAGGCACCAGCTTAGGTCGGCCGGGTACCTTTTCGCCAGGTACCACCAACCCTTCCTGACCAACAGCGCTTTTCAGCACCAGTATTAGTATCATTGTGTGCAACGCTGCCGTCAATTTAACCCCTGGTTCCCTCGACGACGTGGATCCCTCTTTGCCTCTAATTGATTACTGTGATTGCACCCAGGCCCCAGTGTCCTTGTCTGCCGTCGCCTCCGGGTCCTTCTCCTCGTGCTCTTCTCTGCCCTCTTCACAGAACCCCTCTAGGCCCCATCATCGCTCCCCTTTGGGCTCCCCCCTCCCAGCAGCCCAGCAGCGACGGGGGTTCCCTCACACGGAGTGCGCCTCTGTTTTTGGTCGTGGTCCCTGGATGGACACCTCCACCCCTACTACTTTCCCCTTCTTTTCTCGTTGGTCCCCTTCCCGTCGCGAGGACGCCACCACCTCTAC